CCCTGAGATCAAGAGCTGCATGCAATTCCGACTGAGCCAGCCGGGCACCCCATCATGTGAATCTGTGAAGTTTTAAGTCATATAACATTTAAAAGATGTCAGCCTGAGATGTGACCTTTCTGCACGACTTTGAGGCTGTCTGTGCTGGTAGCCGGACAGAAGTGTAGGGGTCAGGGTCATGGAGAGGTAGAGGAGAGAGGTAAGAAAGTCCTACCAATCAGCTTATTAGATCAAGAAGTTACACCCCCTCTGAGCAATACACAGCTATTTTGCTTCTGGATAGGTCGGAAAATAGCCCCCAGACAGGCCTGGCCAGTTGCCTTGTGGTTGAAAGGCAGCCTCTGCACAAGTTAAGGGCAATTTGCAGGCAGAAACCCTGCTCAGTCCCAAGTAGTGGTGAAGACACAGTCGTGGCTGGGTTCACACTTGCTTGACCTCTGGACAGTTTCTGGAAATGCCCCCAAACAGTTGTTAATTAATCCAGAACAGCTTGAAAAGAGTTTCTGAAAGGCTGTGGCCGCCTGGCTGTCTTCACTTTCTCGAGCTTCCCATTTGCCGAGTGAGCTCAATGGTTTTTTCTGCACATCCACCCATCTTCATCTCTGTTAGCTCCAGTCACGTGCTTTCTGACCCAGAATATTTGTCACCGGCACTCCTTCCTGTCTCACTGTTTTGAAGCCTAATTCATCCTCCTGGGGGGTATTGCAGTGTATATTAGTTTAAAAATAGACAAAGTAGAGGCTCCTGGGTGGCTCAGTCGGTTGAGCGTCCGACTTCGACTCAGGTCATGATCTCACAGCTCGTGAGTTCGAGCCCCACGTCGGGCTCTGTGCTGACAGCTCAGAGCCTGGAGCCTGCTTCGGATTCTGTGTCTCCCTCTCTCTCTGCCCTTAACCCACTCGCATTCTGTCTCTGTCTCTCTCAAAAATAAATAAACATTAAAAAAAAATCTTAAAATAAATGAAGTCTCCTTGAAGTTCCTAGAAAAAGCATGTCACTGTACTGGGCGGTTTGCAACTGGGGAAAGTGACCTGAGAGAGAGACTTATTCAAAATCTTGACGTGATTGCCATTCAATTAAAGAGGCTGGAAGAGGCCCCCCCTTTGAGGATACTTAGTACATCCACGTGACGTCCCGTGTAGACATTTCCTCTCTCCCATTAGCCTAGAACCTTGCAAAGTGTTCTTGCAAGGTTCTTGAACCTTGCAAAGTCTGGCACATGACAGACTTTCGGGAACCTGTGAAGATTCTCACTTCGTGCCATGGCTTCCCATTTAGGTAGGAACCAGGCTGGACCGGGATCCACGGTTTTCAACCCTGGTTTCTATTGAGCACAGGAGACCGGAGAGAGGCCACCGGCAATGTCACGGAGGGGACCCAGGGTATTCCAGCCCCCAGTCCTCAGGAAGATGCTTACTCCCAGAGCCAGCCGCATTCGGCTTCCCATACTCAGAAGGGAAGTGTGGGCTTTCTACTGAGAAAAACCACAGACCTGCAGTTCTAGGCACTTTCCCAGAAACTTGAGCCTGACCCCAGGATAGCACCCTGCCAAGCTGCCCGGGGCCAGAGCCAGTCTTGGCACTTCTTGGGGGCTTCCTGACTCCCTGCTGCCGGTGCCAGGGCCTCATGGTCTGGAAACTGCCAAGGGGCCGAGGACCGGCTGGAGTGCAAGCTCCTTCCCTGTTCAGATGGTGGAGGAAACACCCACGTGTGGAATGCCTGCTGGCTGTCTGCCCCAGCTCTGCCCGTTTCCTGTGCCTTGGGCCACCAGGAGCTGTTGGCAAGCCTTCTGCCCAAGACGCAGCAGTCTGGGCCCTTTTAGTTTCCTTCCAATGCATTTGCTTGAATATAAAGGGCTAAGATCCCTGCCCCACCCCCTCTCTCTGCATTTGGAACAGAGACTCAGCAAAAAATTTACTTTTTTTAAGTTTATTTATTTTGAGAGAGAGAGAGAGTCAGAGAGAGAGAGAGAGAGAGAGAGAGAGAGAGCATGGGGGAGGGGCAGAGAGAGAGAGAAAGGGAGAGAGAATCTCAAGCAGGCTCCACCCTGTCAGCTCAGAGACTGAGACGTGCGGGACTCGAACTCACACACCGTGAGATCATGACCGGAGCTGAAATCAAGACGTTTAACCGACTGAGCCGCCCAGGCACCCCTCAGCAAAAACTTTTAACAAGTCCAGTGGTACCTTTAAGTAATTTTGATTCAGCCATTGTTATTCTTTATATCTTTTGTCTAACTCGTTTGCGTACCTTTCACGCTTTTATAGTTTTTTGTAACTACCAGAGCAATAGAACTGGACCCAGAAAATTGGAAAGCACAGAAAAGAGAAAGAAACCTGTTTACGTGTAATCCCATCATTGTAACAACCGTTTTGGTGTGTTCTCTCTTAGGTGAGCGTCTTGGTTAGCTAAAGTCAGTGAACATAAAACACTGTGTGATCCGTTGTGGGTTTTTGTCTCCTTTAACACTGTGCCATTACATTATAAGTTTTTCCTTGAAACTCTATGTTCCCCACACATCATTTTAGAATTTTTAGAATATTAAAAGATGGCCATACTTTGAAACTGTCCCTTACTTTATTTTTTTTTTAATTTTACTTCTTGCAGAGTTATTCTTTAAAAAAAAAAAAAAAAAAGACTGTTGGCTTTCTTTCCCTATTCCCAGCTCCGGATGTCCCGTTCAGTTGTCTTTGTTTCGGTTTTAGTATCTAGGTCCCTGGAGAGTCCCTGCCAATCTGCATGGAAGGCACAGAATTTGTGCCACGTAACTGCTGGGACTTACACCCTAACCCTGTAGGCCTCCCTGCTCTTGGGTGGCCGTGGTGCGCAGTGATGAAGGTGGTCCGGCCTGGAACAGAGCCAGCCAGACCCACGGGATCAACGCGTGGGCCATTTTATGTGGTTTCTGAGCAGTGGCAGAGAAAGCGTAACCTGTCTGCGTGTGACCAGGTAGGTGGATGACGGTTTTTGCCAAGGTCCTTGAAGAGGAAAGGAAAGGATAAACTAAGGGTCCTAGAGCGTTCTTGACTAACAAATACGGGAACTCATTAAGGGCTATATACACAAAACCACGTGGGAGGTCATTTTGGGAATGTTTAAGGGATTTTCAAGGGTAATTTTTATTTGATTTTTAACTTGCACTCTGACTCTTGGGCAAGACATGACTCCATGACTGGTGGGAACGGCTGAAGCTAATTTGGTCGCTTTGCTAGCATCTGTCATGTTCTCTCAGTGAACTCCAGGAAAGGGGAAAAGATAGAGGTCATTCGACCCGTTCCTCCAATTTCTCCATGTGACGGCGTGTTCCAACAAAAGCAAGTCTTCCACCAAATTCTGCCAGGAGCAAGCCTGCAAAAAAGCAGTCTATGTAACCTGCTCTTGTAAAGTCAAGGATGATGGAATCGGCTGACATTCCATGAGTCCGGCAACAGAGCCCTCCGTGAAGTGGGGACACCCAGGACCAGGTGGAACTCAACACCCAGGCTGTATTCCAGAGGGGCCAAGCCTGGTCTTGCAAGGGTGGTGGATGCCCTAACATCTTTCTAGCTAACCACACTGAGCAACGCTCAATTACCCAAGGAAGAGTTAAAACTAATTTCTAACATCTCATGCGTTAATGATTGAGCCTCTTCATTTGCCAAAGGTATCTGAATCTTGCTTACACCTGGAAACAACCAAAACACCCACCAGCATGGGACCGTTTTCATAAAGTTTGGCCCCATTGTGTAACGAACCCCTCTGCTGCTGAAATAAAAAAAAAGTAAGGACGCTGTCTGGGAATTGGTGAAGCGAAACTTCCAGGACGGAGGATTCAGTGCAAGCAGCAAGGTGCAGATGTATGAGGCATTAGTAGCCCACGTTTTGTGTACATGGAGGTAGAGTGGAATAAGAGTTAATATGTGCACTTGCTTCTAATTGCAAAAAGTCTTTGGAAGGAAACACCAGACACGAATGAGTTACCTCTAGAGGTAGGGGTGGGAAATGGGATTGGAAATGCGGCCAATAGGATAGGAGTGGAAGATAAACTTTTTACTATAATGTGTTTTGATTTTTTTTTTGGGGGGGGCGGCGTGGGTGGGGAGAGTGGTGCCAGCAGGAAAGAGGGGGAGAGGGAGAGAGAGAGAGAGAGAGAGAGAGAGAGACTCTTTTTTTTTTTTTTAATGTTTATTTATTTTGACAGAGAGTATGTGTATATCCATGGGAGGGGCAGAAAGAGAGGAGAGAGAGAATTCTAAGCAGGCTCCTCTGTGTCAGTGCAGAGCCTGGCATTGGGGCTTGAACCCATGAACTGTGAGATCAGGACCTGAGCTGAAATTAAGAGTCAGACACTTAACCGACTGAGCTACCCGTGTGCCCCTGGGAAGAATTTTAATCAGGCTCTATGCTCCTCAAAGAGCCCGTCTTGGGACTTAATCCCATGACCTTGATCATGACCTGAGCTGATATCAAGAGTCAGACATTCAACCAACTGAGCCACCCAGGCACCCCTACCGTTTTGATTTTTAACCATGTGAATCTATTACCTATTCTAAGCAAATACATGTATAACTTAATTTTCACATACATACAGCATACTATTTATATCAAAGGGTTTTTTTGTTTTATTTTTATATTTATTATTTTTTTTTAATTTTTTTTTCCAACGTTTATTTATTTTTGGGACAGAGAGAGACAGAGCATGAACGGGGGAGGGGCAGAGAGAGAGGGAGACACAGAATCGGAAACAGGCTCCAGGCTCTGAGCCATCAGCCCAGAGCCCGACGCGGGGCTCAAACTCACGGACCGCGAGATCGTGACCTGGCTGAAGTCGGACGCTCAACCAACTGCGCCACCCAGGCGCCCCTTGTTTTATTTTTAAAGTTTATTCATTTTCGAGAGACAGAGAGACAGAGCATGAGTGGGGGAGGGGCAGAGAGAGAGGGAGACACAGAATCCAAAGCAGGCTCCAAGCTCGGAGCTGTCAGCACAGAGCCCGACGCGGGGCCCGAACCCATGAACTGTGAGATCGTGACCTGAGCTGAAATTAAGTCAGACACTTAACCAACTGGGCCACCCAGGCACCCTACACCAAAGTATTTTAAAGTCAATTCCAACACAGGCAGTATGACAGCGGCCCTCAATCCTGATGTGACTTGAAGGCAGGGCTCCTCAAACCAGGGGGCCAGGTGCTCAAAACCATAGGACAAACATCTTGCTGGAAGATCTAGAAGGAAAACAGACTTAGAATATTCTGGAGTAGAATGTAGCTTTGCTAAGAGCCCTCCTGACTTGCTGCATCCATTCAGCCATTAACCTTCAGTCCTGTGGGGTGGCATAAGCAACACTCAGGGAATCTCTGTGCCCAATATGCTGTCAGGGTCCATCTTTGTGAGTTTCACCTGCCTGGGGTTTTTGGATTTTCTAAAGCAAATTTCATTTGGTCTCTACAACACCTCTGAGCAAGTAGTAAATATTATCCCTGCTTGACACAAGGAGAAACCAGGGCTCAAAAGCCACGCACGTGATTAGATTAAAGTTATTTGATGACAGTGATGTGCATGTCACTGTCACATGAGCAAAGGCTATGGTCTGTTAGGAATTTACCTATTTCTACATTTAGTTAGGACAAGAGCTATCATTGTCCTTGTTTTTTGTTTTTATTTTTATTTATTTAAAAAAATTTTTTTTAACATTTATTTATTTTTGAGACAGGGAGAGACAGAGCATGAACGGGGGAGGGACAGAGAGAGAGGGAGACACAGAATCTGAAACAGGCTCCAGGCTCTGAGCTGTCAGCACAGACAGAGCCTAACGCGGGGCTCGAACTCACGGACCACGAGATCACGACCTGAGCTGAAGTCGGACGCTTAACCCACTGAGCCACCCAGGCGCCTCTGTTTTTTGTTTTTATTTACATAGTGATATTTCCTGACAGTTTCTCAAGGAGTGTCTATACACACCCAAGAAGGTCCAGAGACAATGAAAGGAAGAAAAAGAAATTGAAAGCCAAGAGGGATCGGCCCCTGGAGCTGGAGGAGGGGCCACAAAAGTGGCTCTAAGCTTTCTCAGGGCCATTGCTGAAAGGGAACGGCCAGCAACCTGTCCCATGCTAGGCACCTTGAGGAAGGCTGGTTGAATGGCAGTCTGGGCAGAGCTGTGACAGCCCACAGAGCTGACATCTCTGTTTACAAGCAGAGACTGAAAACAAAAGTCTGGAAGTCAAGAGGCTCCTCCTTACCATGGGTAATTCCAGAATGAGAAACTCCAGACCCTCCTCCTGGGAAGGGGGTGAGGCGTGGGCTGATCCCGTGATCGTTGCTCCTTATCAGTATTTCTGCTTCTGACTCTCCTACTGCCAACACTCTCAGCCCAGAGAGCTTGTCACCTTGCAAAGGGCAGGGGCACCAGGGAACACCTCCCTGTGCCATTTGCACTCTGATCGCAATGGCTTCTATTTGCACCACCCTGATGCTCTCGTAGGGACCAGGACGTGGCATTTTCTCGTTTGATTCTTGCATCAACGGGGAGGAAGTTACGCCAGCTGAACATGATGACCTTCACTGCAGGGAAGGACAAGACCTAGAACAGGAGATGGAACCAGGCCTCCAACCCAAGTTGGGACATGCCCATCAGGAGCTCTTCCAGCCGCCAGTGTCAGAGTGAGGAGTCTTGGGGTCTGGGGCTGCCCACGCTCCTGGCCAGCAGACCCCAGTTCTATCTGCCTCTGTGTCTCCAGTGCCAGTCTGTCAGAGCGGCTTCCAGGGCATATGACCTGGGCGGTCACACAGTCACGTGCTCAGAAAGGCCCACATTTGGTTTAATGCTCTGCTGTCACCACTTAGAAATCCTTCATAATTTTCCCTTTTTTTATTTTAATTTTTTTAAGGTTTATTCATTTTTCAGAAACAGAGACAGAGTGTGAGAGGGGTTGGGTTTGAAACCAAAAAAAAAGGAAATCTATTGGGGCGCCTGGGTGGCTCAGTCGGTTAAGCGTCCGACTTCGGCTCAGGTCATGATCTCACGGTTGGGTTTGAGCCCTGCGTCCGGCTCTGCACTGTCAGTTCAAAGCCTGGAACTTGCTTCGGATTCTGTGTCTCCCTCTCTCTCTGCCCCTCCCCAACTCATGCTCTCTCTCTGTCTCTCAAAAAATGAATAAACATTAAAAAAAATAAAAAAAAAAAGAAATGTATTGTGATAAAACACACAGAACATAAAATTTACCATTTTTAAGTGGATATTTAGTAGCATTAAGTACATTCACAATGTTGTATAGCGATCATCATTATCCATTTCCAGAATATTTTCGTGACCCCAACCAGAAATTCTGTACCCAGTAACTCCCCATCCTCCCCTGCCCCCAGCCCCTAGGGGCCCCTACCCGACCTCTGTCTCTACGAACTTAACTATACTGGAAACCTCACATAAGTGGAATCATGCAATGTATTTCCTTTTGTGTCTGGCTTGTTTCTCTCTGAATGAGGGAAACAGAGGTTCCCTGAATGAGGTTCATCTCTGTTCTAGCATGTGTCAGAATGGCCTTCCTTTCTAAGCCTCTTCTTCCATTGCACGACTTCACCACATTTCCTTTATCCATTCGTCTGTCAGCAGACATTTGGGTTGTTACTATGCTTCTGTCTATTGTGCACACTATTGCTATGAACATTTGTGTATATGTTGCAATTCGTTTTTAATTATTTTTAAACCGGAGAACACGATAATAAATGGCATTTAGTAGGAAAAACCCTTCAAAGCCCAAAGCCAATGGGAAGAAAATAGCCAAAAGGCTCTTGGGTGGTTAATAGTATAAGGAAACTTGCTCAAGGGCAAGGTTGTTTCCCCGTTGACTTCCTTCCCCGTTCATTTGCATCAACTCCTTCGTCCCTGACCAGCTGTCAAAAACCTCCGTTGATTTAAAAAATAACTTTGGTTGGGGGGAAAGGTACATTAAACATATCTACTGACCCTAAATGTGTCCCAATTTCAGAAATGCTTAATATGGATAATTATGCAAGCTGGGTGATGTGTATGTGGAGATTCATTGTACTGTTCTTTTTTTTTTTTAACATCTGAAAGTTTAGTAAGAATATACAAAATAATTTGAAAAACGTACGAAGTGTATCTTGAAGTGGGGGAAAGAGGGTCCATCCTATTTCCTGACTTAACCCACATTTCCCGGCTGAGTCTCCATCCCAGGGGTTGGAAGTGTGAGACTTGGTTCATGTTCAGGGTCTCGAGAGGGCAAGGAGTCCCCGGGAGGCCGCCGGGGGCCTGAAGGTTTATAAGCTAGTTGCCATGGAGCTGTTCCCTTCCTCTCCACTGCTGGCCCCATTCACTGAACTGCAATGAATTCCAGTGAAATTAACCTTCTGGATGGAAAAGCAAGAAGAAGAGGGGGAGCCCCCAGATTTGCTCCTGGGAAGCACTGCCGTCTCCTGCCACCCCACGAGGGCCAACAAGGGCCGAGCTGCCTGGGAGAAGGGCCCCCCCACCCCGGACTGTAAACGGATGCTTCCTTCAATCCCCAACCCTGCCCCAGTCCCCCCCACCCCCTCCTTATATCACGAATGGTAACAAAAGAAGGAACATTAAACCAGATAGTAATACCCTGCCAGCTTTCATGTGGTCCCGGAACATCTGCTTGAGAAACTACACACTGTGGGGTGAGTCACTGGGGTCTGGCCTCGCATTGGCTGCGAGAATCTCCTGATGCTGGAGGAAAACGGGTCTTTCTCCCATTGGAAGGGAACAGACCCAGGGCCGTCAGCGATTGCATGGCTCGGATGATGCCGCAGCACATTGCTACCCCCGTGGCCTCTCCGCTTCTCCCTGGCCCCTGGCAGTGTGGATGGCCTCCTAAAACTTCTAAGCCTGAAAGAGGTTGGGAAAATGAGCAAGGCAGTCATAGGATAGCCCGGGCGTGTCTGCTCCTTGGAGAACTGGTCACAAAGCCTGCACCTGGTTTAAATGAGCCGGCAATCCTGGGGTGTCAGTCCTGATTGTGATTGAAAAAGTGTGACCGGCTTCTTAATCCCACAATAAAATCTCACTTTCCAAGGTAGCAAGCAGTCCATTCCTGGTTTGGATCTTAAAACTTGGGCCCGGCAGGCAGGTCCCAGAGCAGCTCAGCGAGGGCGGGGCTCAAGGCTGGATCGTGGCCCGCCGTGGAAAGGCCTTGTAGGGCCCCGAGCCGCATGGCCTTGGGCAGGGCACTTCCTCTCTTGGTCCTCAGTGTCCCCATCCGTAAAGTGCCTAACTGATCTTAAGAACTCGTCGGCTGAGAACTTCAATGAGACAAAGCAAAGACTTCACTGGTACTTTGTCTTCAACTTCTGTTGTAAAATTGCGCATTTCTATCAGGAAAAAAGGCGGGTCAGTGGACAAAATGGCCCACAGTCATGAGATGAATCTGTCCGTCTGTGCAAGGCAGGAACCCCAGGCAGAAAGGTCCGGAGCTGCCCTCTCAGCCTCGATGAGCAGTCTTCCGGGTGCTAACCATCTGGCAAAGCAGAGTGGGCAGCAGTTTAGGGGTTCTGAGCTCAGCTCTGTCCCCAAGTCTGTCTGAGCCTGTGTCCTCACATGTGAAATGCCTGGGGGTAGGGGTGGGGGTGGGGGGGCAGAGGGGAGCATTCCTATTCTAATTCTTTCTGAGGGTATTGCAAGAATCAAATATGCCAGCGCTTTAAAAAGGATGAAGTTCCACTCCTACTTAAAGGGTTATTATTTACTTAATCCCTTGAAAGAAAATCACAGTGAGAACTTTCACTATCCCCGGAGGACTAGGTTTTCTGGGGATAATTTCAACATCAACCAGTGTGACTTTTACGCCTGGCCTAGCTAGTCAGTGCATCCTGGTCCAGGAGACGTTTTCAGCTGGATCTCACTGTTGTGTAAATGGGCCAAATACGGCCTTAGCGTATTGGCCCCAAATGTTTCCAGTTGGTTGTTTATTCACAGCAGACTAAGACTGTTAGCCCGAAGCCTGCCAATGCCAAACTTAAATTTTTATACATCCAATTGCTTAAAATATAACCCAGATACATCTATTTTTAGCTATTTAGGGCCTACTTACTTTGCATACCCCACGAAACTGCACTCAACATCAGGTCACCAGAGATTAGACAAACCCTATGAAAGACCACCACATCGCTGCTGCCTTCTGGAACTCCCTCACCCAGAGCCATCCCCCACCTTACTGCTGAGTAAGGTCATCTGGATATGTAAGCACCCTCTCTGCCCCTGGGAGTTTTCATGGTCTGGTCCCCTTCTGGGTGGTCGCTTCTTGCCTCCGTCTCTGGAAGGTCTCTTGCTGGGATGACCTCTCCTCCTCATTCAGCATTGTCCCAGGGCCGTCTAGTAAGGCTTGTTGTGTGTCACTGCCCCTTGTGGTCCTGTGTCTTCCTTGATCAACCCTGAAATCCTCCAACTTACCAGTTACTCAGCCTGCTCCTGAGTCAGAAAACCTCAGACATTTTTCCAATGGCTCAGCTTCAATGTTTGTGCAAACATCAGCAAACCTCCTTAGTCTGGAAATTCTCTACTTGGAGCCATGCTTCCTTGGGCCTCAAGGCCCCCAGGACTGGCAGCAGCTTCCGGGAAACCCCAGGGGCAAAACCCCCAACCCAACTCAACCCAAACGTCCAGGCTTCAGGCTTGTCACGGCACCTGGGATCACATTCGTGTGCCTAGAGGTGGGGATGGCTGTGCCCGGGGTACGGACCAGGGCAGACAGGTCTCCAGGGTGCTGTCACCATAAGGTCGGAACTTGGGAGGTAATTTACCCAAGAGAGATGATTGAAGAGGGAGAGCTGGAGCTGGAGGGGCCCACAGAGATTAATGTAAATTTCATTTTACAGAATTAATGTAAAATTTCATTTCACAGAAAAGGAAATTGACAGAGAAAGAGAGAGAGAGAGAGAGACAGAGTGTGAGTGGGGGAGGGGCAGAGAGAGAGGGAGACACAGAATCCGAAGCCGGTTCCAGGCTCTGAGCCATTAGCACAGATCCTGACGCAGGGCGCGAAGCCATGAGCTGTGAGATCATGACCTGAGCTGAAGTTGAACACCCAACCGACTGAGCCACCCAGGCACCCCTGAAGTTATCTTTATCTTATAGCTATAACATCTAAGCATCTTATTCCCCAGCCACAGTGACTGGTTCAGGGCGAGAAGTGTGCCGTCAGAGTTGATGATAATCAACACCACTTTTGCTGGAAGAGTTGAGAGTGTGTGTTCTTTCTAACTGTACACAGACCTGGACGGCGGGAGTCTCGACCTGCCATCAATCCCTTCCCTCACATAGAGACTGTGAATGAATTCAGCCAGAGAACAAGAGATAGAGACTGAATCCCGGTACTACTGTTTGAGCTCCTGGATCCAGTTTTACCTGAAGATCTCCTGGAATAGCCCTTTTGCACGTAACAACTTTGAGTCAGCCTTTCCATCCTTTTAAGCACGCACTAGGGTGCCAAACTGGCCATCTCTATGCTGGTATTTTCTACCATCGTTCTTTGGCTGTGGTTCTTTTGATCATAGTACTCATGCTGCTTTGTACTCCCACCAGTGCCCTCCTGTGATGCTCTCAAAGTTCAGCTTAGTTTGACAAACATTTCCTGGACTTTTACTGTATGCCAGGCCCTGTGTTATGCTTTGGGAGAGACACAGCGATTAGGACACGGTTCCTGCTTTCCAGAAATTTATAGGCTCAGAACTTGTTATTAAGGGAACCACAACACACAGTAATATGTGGACTCAGGCAAGTCCATGCAAGGCTTGGAAACAGTACCTAGAGAGTAGGAATTCTGTGTGGGAAGCAGAGGGGGTCTTCTACTCTGAATGAGGCAAGGTCCTCGTGGTGCAGCTGTGAGGGACTATGGGTCATTAGCACCCCTCCTAATGGGTCAGTTGTTTCCAACTCATGATGCCTCCTGTAGAAAAGTTTGGATCAAGTGCCTCAGTGCTTTGCTAAGAGCCACTTGGCCATACGAACCATTCTGGGGTTTTCGGGTTGGTGAATACTTTAAAATGTATATTTGGGGAGCTTTGATATTTATGTGAGTATACTTGAGGATTCACCCATGGAAAATAAGAAAGCATTGCATTTATCTGGGGGAGGGGGTCTCAGGAACTGAGACAGGACCAAGCATGGTAGACTTTACTCGATCCTTCCTAAGACCCTGGTGAGCTGCTTCACCTTCCCTCCTGTCATCCCTGCTCCCCCATCCCGGCCACACATGGAGCTTGAATGGTACTTAACTGCTTCCTGTTTCCAGAATACACTGACCCCCTTACCTTCACATCTCCCTCTTCCAGAAATGCCTCCTTCTTGTTAACCAACATGGTGACTTCTCATCCTTTACTCCCCACCTAGAATCATCCCACCCCTTCCTGGGACACCTATGTATTCCTTCTCTTCTGTTCCCACAATCCATTATACACACCCTGTGTGTGTGTGTGGGGGGGGGGGTGGTTAGGTAAAGAGGAGGTGAGACCTAAAGTCAGGAAAGCGTGAAATTGAGAACATAGGAGGCTTTGTAGGGCCAAGGCCAGCAACACTGAGTCAGATAGAATTGTGCTTTTCTCTTTTGTCATTGAGACAGTGGTCAACTCTGTCACCCATTGAGGGCCCTATTTACAATGACATTATCTGTGCTCTGAGATGATGTCAAAACCCTTCTGGAAGGACTTAGCCCAGTTGGATAACCCCTGCCTAACTGCTGAAACCACCTATAAGCCACCCGCTACCCCAACATCATGGTCATCATTAGATTGTGTTGTTACTGTCATCAGGGATGTCTCCCGTCTGGATTATAAATTCCTTGGGAGCGGGACTATGTATTTTCATCTTTCTGTCCTAGATGCAGGGCACAGAGCTTAGCTTATAGGCAGCATTCAATAAAAGCATCCTGAATGAGTCAGTGAGTGCATAAATGCAGGAATGAATGAATGAATAAATCCTTCCCACGGATGGGGAGTGGCGATAGAAAGGAGAACACAAGGTTTCAATCAGCATAACAATGGGCTTTAGAAGACTTGCTTTTTCCATCTGAAAAAATGAGGATAGTGGACACCCGCGTCCACACTCAAAAATGTCAGTCCTAAGAGCACTGAACTTTCTTACAATGTCAAGTTTCCCCAAGTGAAATCTGCTGCCTCTTGAAATGGTCCTTTGTCTGAGGATTCCCATCAGAGTCCTGCACTGGCGGGAGAATCAGGCGCCCCCTGCCCAAGACCCTTCTTAATGCAAACACTCCTTCTATTCAGGATCCCATGCTAATTAGGGCAGAGCTGGACACTGCATTCATTTCTCATTCTAGAAGAGCACATTGCCCCATTACAATGATGATACTTGGAGGGCTGCAGACATTTAAAATATGCTACGTATGACTCCATAGAAACTGGTGCCATTGCCAACCAACAGACGAGACCATAACTGGAGGGGATAAAGGGAAGTCGATGGAGCTCATTGAAAATGTA